GTGTGTTGTAATAAAATATATTTTTAAAATAATCCTCTTAAAAATATAATTATTTAATACATTTTGAGATAATTATATTAGGAATTAATTTACGTACATCATAAGAGTATTTATGTTAGAAATGTGCAAAGATCTTATCAAGTCTTTTTCGTATGTCACAAAATATTATTCGCACTTACAAGTATTTTAAAATTTATGAAGAAATGTTTGTACAACACTGATTTATTAATAAAACATAGATATGTGCGACAATAATAAACCTATAATCTACTTAATTTACTACAGCTGCGAATAAAAATTGCATCGTACTACACTTCTGTTCGATGAAAGGAAAACTATTATAAGCATTGCTCTTTTTTTTCCTTTTAACGAGTACATTTAACTTCTAATCTCGACTGTACTTTCATGTTGGAAGCAATTTAATAGATTTTTGCATTCCAATATCACCAAGCAGTAATCACCAAGAGTACATCAATTCCTATTTGTACTGTATTTGTTACTGTATTTTACGTATGATAAAATTTGAGATTCGAATCTTTAGCACGATTGGAAAAAAGAATTTCGTAAAAATTTGTCAAGTCATTCTTGCAAGCGATAAAGTTTACTATGTTATTAATCTACAAAGTAAACAGACTCTCGAGATGCCTACAAAGCAAAATTACATTATTTAATAGCCTATAATGAGCAATAACAAGTAGTAATTAATATACATTCAATTTATTGTCATAATCATATGACAATAGACTTTTTAACTTACTTATTTAATTTTTTATTTAACAAGTAAAACTCACCAACGATGAAGAATTGGTTATAAAATTTTATAGCAGTGACAGTTTGATGCTAATCGAGTGAATATTCTATTTTTTTATAAGTACTGTCTGTCTGAATGCTAACATGACTTGTAAGAAAAATAACTGCACACATTTTAGGAATAGGTATAAATCATACATTAAAAAATTGTTCACAAATTGTATTAATTTTCATGATTTGTTTATGTGAACAAATTGATATAAATATTACAAAGTGAGGAAGACTAAAGGGCCTATTCTGTAGCTCTTAACGACTTTAACAATCGTTAAATTGTCGTTGCGCAGCTTTTTTTACTGCATACAAAATCTGCGCAATGACACTAACAATATTGTTGCAGTTGTTAAGAATTACAGAATAGAGCCCTAAGTCAATATATTTTTTATTATTTATTGTTTATAATTATTAAAAGATTCTTAAAATTGAAAATTAAAATATTCCAAATTAAAGGCTTTAAAAGTAACAATTCAATAAATGTGCATAAATTTTCAACTAGTTTTATGTATTATATATAATTCATATTAAGTTATTATTATAAATTTCCGAATGTTTCAGTCATATTTATCCTCAAAATCACAATTATATTATTGTACGGTTATGATAATAAATTGAATGTATGTTAATTATTACATATTATCGTTCGTTGTAGACTATTAAACAATGTAGTTTTGCTTTATTATGTCATAATATAAAAAAATATATATTATTTCGATCTCATTTAAAAGATGAAAGGCAAGTTACTCGGGGCCGTCGCTAATTTCGGGGTGTTAATGACTCTGGGGCTGTGCGGTGTTTTGCGTGCAGAGAGAGGAGTGAAAGATGGTGTTGTTGTGGCAGAAAGATGTTTCCTCAATGGTTTCATGGGTGTTCGAACTGGTGTCTTGTTGATATTGAGTCTATTAGCACTCCTTAGTATCTGTTCTGGCAACATTGAGCTGTGCAATTCCTCTCTGTCCGTCATATGACCCTGAAACTGATTATATGTCGTATCTGTGATGCTATTAACAGGTGACTGCGATTCTTTTCTTTTTTGTCCGCCTTTGGAAGATCTGCCTGATTTTTGACCAATCTTTGGAAGTCTTCCGCTCCTTCTGATTTTGGATACAGTGATAGTAGGTTTATTCTTGTCGCCATTTTTATTTCTGCGTTTTAATGACGAATTGGGAGATGGGCTGAAAAGTTTACGTTTCGATAACCCTAGTGCTGGCCCTCTGTGAACGCTCAACATACCTGGCGTTCGCTTAGAACTATTTAAAGGCGATTTCTTAATTGATTTATCTTTTGCCTCTTTCCTTGCCTTTTTCTTCGACTCTCTCTCGAGAGTGACACTTTCCCAACTCTCTGCTAAAACATTTTCCAACGATGTGCCATAAATAGTAAACATCTGATTATGAGTAGTCTCGTATTCCTTAATCAACTTCCTCAGTTCTACTTCTATTTTGGGTAACTTCCTTTGTATAGCATTGCGCTCTTTTTCTTCCATCAACAATTGGCCTCCGCGATTGTGATAGCGATCGGGATTGTTTGCTCGCTGAAGCAAATCCTTAACTTTCGTTATCAAATTTTCACGTTGTTCTAGAAGCTCAAATATCGTTCGATTATCGTTATAAAATTTGCGCAGTCTCTCCACTTCTAACTCATGCAACGATAACAGATCCTCTGTGAATGTGTTAGAAAAAAATGGTGCAAATGTGTTTCTTTCTGCTTCACAGTATTTACATAAGTCCCATAAATTTAGCAGTTCATATCTAATCTGTGTGACATATTTGAGGATATTCTCTTTTCTTTTTTCCTTACAACGCTTTATTTCTGCTGCAAGAGCATTTATGGTATTAGTGTTGTATCCAGGATATTTTTCAAGGAATGATTGACAAACATCGTCAGGCTCGTCAAGATATTTCCATAATGCCAATAAATCTTCCTTCATTTTTTCGATGCAACACTTTGTATCTTCTATCTGCATACTCAATTCATCCCTATATTCTTTTAGTTTTGTCATATTATTCGTATTCAGCACAAACTCCTCAGGATTGTTGCAGACTAACTCTATAAATGGCGATGGAGATATTTCCAAATCATTCATCATTTTGATTATAGAACGACGTATATCTGTAAAAACATTCTCCAAATGTGTTTTCTCAATCTCTTGCTTTTGTAGATAAAGTTTAAAACTCTCAAGATCTTGCTCCGTAGGTACAACATCCTCAACTATGTTTAACGCTTTGCAGCCGAGCTTCTTGCAAATTTCTTGTTCTTTCGATAATAATTCCTTGAGAATTACAATACGTTCTTTCTTTATGCATTCTAAATTTTGTAAATCTGTTTGAAGAATTTGTTCGACTTTGCACAAAGGGACATGATCATATGTTTTGGATATCACCTCCATTTGCAATTCTGCATACAATGACGTTGTTTGTTTGAAGAGATCCTGTATGTTAGCAAACAACAGCTGCTGCTTTGACTGTGCCTCGGCGACCATGTCGTTTAATAATTCCTTTACGTGACTATGCGCTTGGTCATAGTACGTCGATCGCATATCCTTGGTGCATCCAATGCCTTCCCAAGTTTTCTGCAGCACGTCAAATGCCTGTTCGAGTTCCTTGACTATTTTTTGCACGACAGGCTTCCACTCCGGTTGATCGGCCATTATTCCTATCTCTTTATTTTCTTCGAGAAAGAATAATATCCAAGTTAAGAGTACGACTCAATACGGTTGTTATAAATTCTGCATCGTCGCATACATACCTCAATCTCTAGAAAATGTCAACCTATTGCACGAAAGAAATTCACACGCGTCACTTTCTTCAGGAAACGACGCCACAGTAAACGCATGCCGTTAGCTTTTTGAATTTAAACGGTCTAAATGTTTTGCTGAGTTTGCTCGATGGCGTTGCTGTCGGAGCACTGAAGCGTTCCGAAGTTCATAAAAAGTTGTACATACGTTGAAAAGAACAGGGAATCAATTATACTGAATTCACATTGCGTACGATATTCAGTAGAATTTGGCTGCGTTCAGTAGAAAAAGCAGCTTTGCTGACCCTTTGATTGATCCTGTTCTTTTTAGCCGAACTTTTTGCACGATTTATGATGTTTCTTTTTCTCTCCAACATGAAAAAAAAGGGAAAAAAATGAACCATGCAGGAACTTTAGTTAAAAAGAACAAACCTCTTGTTAAGTCTATTTTTTTTATTTCTGAGATCTATTTTTTTATTGCACTTTCTGAATTGGTATACACAGTGCAATAAATTAAAGTGAAACAAATATTTCATTTCAACTTATTATTGCACCGAGTTGCAATAAAATGACTCTTTACTCTCGCAAATAGTGCTCGTGGTGCAATAAATTGAAGTAAAACAAATATATTTATTATTTATAGCGACGAGCGATATCAATGGCTGTGTTCGACAGACTCAACAGTTGAGTAAGTACTCGCTGCTATTGATTATTCTTTCAGATCGTCGAACTAGATTTTAGATCTAGAAGAATACATTAATAGCAGCGAGCGCTCACTCAACTGTCAAGTCTATTAAACGCAGCCATTGATGTATTCTTCCAAATCTAAAATTTTGATTAGATGACCTAAAAAAATACACCAATAACAGCGAATACTTAACTGTTAAGTTCACCGAATGCGACTAATGAAATTTTTGTCTTTTTGCACGTGACAATGTAAATCAGAGCTTTTATTGAATATCACTCGTCAAGTTGTCGTGTCCAATGTGCAAATTGCAATAGTCAAGTCTATAGTGTATGTGTATAGTTTACGTCACGTATACTATAGCAAAAGTGCACAATAAAGCTTTCCAGCAGAGGCACAAATCGACACAAAAATTATTCCGTCTTTGTTTCTTACTATTGAACAAGGACAAAATGATTCTTGTGTCAATTTGTGCCTCTTGCTGGAAAGCTCCTAAAGTTATCTGGACATAAAGCTGCATTTTCATGTTGACGCTGAAAATGAGCGTTGAATGTCAGCATGAAAAAGCAGCTTAAGGCTAGATTCACATCTTGACGGAAAAGCGGAAAACGGAAAAGCGGAAGCCAATCAGAACTTGCGGTATGAACTCGGCCTAAGATCGTCGTTCCATTAGTGGAAATTTACAACGGAACGGAACAGCACGACCAATCACAACTCTGCATTAAAGGTTTATTCGCATCGCATGATCCAATATGCTCCTGTCATAGCTCTTACTCACTTCAAGGCCCTCATTAGAATGAGTAAGAACTATGACAGGAGCATGTTGGAGCATGCGACGCGAACAAAACTTAAGACTCAAACACAATAGGCACATGCAACTGTGAATAACGAGCCGTCCAAGAGTTCTGGTATGTAAGTTCGATATTATATCCCAGAGTTCTGATTGGACAACCGTCATTCCCTGTTGCCTATTGTATAAGTCTTTACTGTGCTTTCTTTTCTGCAATTGTGGTCTCATTGTTTCGTTTCGCTGTAAATTTCGGCTGATGAAATGGAACGGCCGCCTAATGAAGGCACCTGTGAAGTACAAAGAAAGTACATATACATGAAAGAGATAAAAGAAGAAATTTTGCGGTATTGTTAAAAACGTCGAAACGTGCGTTTAAACATATGGTAAACATGCGTAAACATGTGTAGCTGCTGTGACGAAATAGCGATAGCGTGACGGAGAACGGAATGCGTATCAGTGAGCATGGAGCTGAACATGGAATTGTAAACGTTTCTTCGGCGTTCACAGGATTGCAGGGATTCACGCCACGCGTCGTCGCTATCGATTACGCTCGTCGGTTCGTGCGCGCGTATGTACACGCAGCACGCTGCCATGTTCAATCGCGAGCGAGCGATCGACGAACGTACCCGACGTCTGTACCACGTGATCGTGGTTTACAAACGGTCGTTGTGGCAAACTGCTCGAGAGCGTGCGGTACCCCTTCTCTCCGCTTTCGTACGCACGCGGTATTCCGTATGCGTATCAACGCATACGTGGAATTGATGTTCGGTGAAGAGTGGTGAAAAGGGAACGCCGCGCGACGCAGACACTTCTGCGGGACGCTTGTGGTAAGATCTGGAATCGTCAGCCGTAGATTCTATGAGATCCTATCGCTCTCTATCTAGTACATCTGCTAATCACAGATCTTTAAACTACGGCGCCGCTAATCGGTGTATACTAATACGTGTGGTGTGCGCGTATATGACTGTGTGAGTTGGTGTGAGTGCGTGATTACCGTTTTTCGTGAAGATGTCACGTTTACCTTGCCCTTATCGTTGAGCAAACATTGGATCAAGGAGAATCATTCACCTGTTGTTGGATGCCTTAATTAGGTTTATCTTTTGATCATTATGTTTAGGTATTTAAGATAGAACGTAAGCTGGAATATAAATGAGCACGTTTATTGTAAAAATTGTAAAATGATTTCGCTCTGATTACATGAATCTTCAATTCTGATACAGACTAATGTCTATTTTTATGATCTACCAACAGATTAAAGTTAATCTATTAATGTAGATTAATTATAATTTCAGTCTAATTTACTCTTAAATAGTGAAATTATTTTATTAAACATAATTAAAGATATATTATGTTTTTTACTTAGATATTTCAAGCTTGTGTATGTCATTAGAACATAAATGAATAAGGCAGTAGAGTATATTTATTAACACAGTGAAATAATTGATTCATAAATTCAATTTTAATTGTAAAATGATTAACAATAAGGATTGTTACAAATGATTAAATTATTGTTTATAAATATAAAGATATATTTTATATTGTTAAAAAAAATAGAACAAAATTTTTTTGTAAATATTGTAAAGCAATTAATTTCTAAATACTCAACTTTGATTACAAAATTTACAATTAAACAGCACCTTCGCAACAATGATGATTATTATTTGATTCAATATAATTTGTTGTTTTATATTGTTAAAATATCTTTTACATATATACCAAACTTGTATAAGTCATTAAAACATAAATAAATAAAGATATAACATTATAAAATAGTGGAGTATTCAAGAATACTCTATTGTAGTTAGAGAGTAAGACTTATTAGGTGTGGGAAAAAGTTCGTTTTTTTAATGCCATCTAATAGGAAAAACGCCATGAACTTTTTCTCACACCTAATATAATTAGTGCAATTATTGCAAATGATAAATTATTTGATTAAGCATAAAAATATAATTTATATTATTAAGAAAATATCTTTTATTTGAGTATTCCAAGTTTATATAAGCAATTAGTACATGAATAAGAACATATCAATGGAGTACTGTAAAATAATAAAGGTTATAAAATATAGTCGATTTTATAATGATTTATGAATTTTTCAATTTTTGCAAGATTTGCAGTTAAATAGTATTATTGTAAATAATGAGATTTTTTCATTAAAGATAAATTTTTTTTAAAAATATTAAGAAAATATTTTGTCTACTAATTATATTTTTTGTATTGTATTCAGGCATTCCACTGTAATTGTATATTTATGAGGAACATGGATGATAATATGGTAATTTTATGGGATGTTATCTATATAGTACAAGAATGAGAATATGAAGAGTAGTAGCCAGAAGGAAGAATCCATTGATAAAAAGAAATATGTGTTCTTCTCAGATCCAGATGTTATTGCCAAACGCGCTGAGACCTCTGCTGCTGTGAGTGATTTTTACTTGTTATCTTTTTGCTTGTAAATATATAAAATTCCATATGGCATTTTCATTGTAGGCAGCACAGATTACCCGAGAACTCGAGGCGCAACAGAAGACTTTCGAAAAGCAATCAGCTGATTTGCAATTGCCTGCAATTGGCATAAAGAGCTTAAAAAATTTGATATCCTATTATCCTGTACAGCCATATCCTTTTACATTTATTAGTGCAGTAAAACAGAAACTCGCTTTAGAAGAGCATTCTGATATCTGCGGTAAAGTACGTGAGTCAAATTCTCAAGCAAAAAACAGTTTGACTTCTTCGATACTGAAAGCAACTAGTACACAAAATTTGACTGCACAAAATCAAATTATACAAAAAATGGACTTCATTAAACCACTGAAAGTACCCGATCTAAAAATTTCTCCAAAAGCGCTGGATTTCTCCAGCAGAGAGAATTCTGTTTCAAAGGAGCTGTCTTCAGCAAAGTCTGAAATAGCTACAAAAGAATTTGCACATGATAGATCTGACAAAAGCCTAAGAACTGGTGAAAGAGTACAGAGAAAATTAGATTTCTCCTCAGATGGATCGTCATTTATTAATTGCGAAAGCATAGAACCATTGAAAGCACCAAATGTCTCTATAACGTCTAATTTAAGTAAGAAGAAGGATCATGTTAGAGACAATTCCAGAGAGAAGGAAAACAGATCCAAGAGGATGAAAAAGGATGACTCTTCGTGTGCAAAGAGGGATGAATCCATGCAAGACCAAGTAAAACGTAGTCGAAGTCCAAGACACATCTCTAGAAAAGATACCAGTGATATAAGCAATTTAAAATTACCAAAAAATGATAGACCATTCCATGTTACAAAAGTTAATGACATTTTGTCAGTAAAATCAAAAGATAAAAGTTTCGTATCGTCTAGTGTTAAAAAGGATAATGAGAAAAGACAGAGGTCCTTTAATGCACAGTCTGTAGAATTAACAAAAGACAATCTTCCGGAATCTAAAATTCGAATATCTAGTAATGAATCACCAATTATTCCACCTTGGAAAGCGCTAGATAAAGTTACATTGAGAGATAATATGGGCGTTTTATCTAGCACTGAAAATAAATCTAAAGACATAAGTCACTATTTTTTAAAGCAAAAATCTGAAATAGAAGATCTGAAACATAAATCTGATTCAGATAGACTATTGAAACA